GCTGTTATTTTAGTTTTTTGTTCATAATTTCTGTTGCCTTTTGAATAAGAGTTACTGTTCATTGAATATGTAAATAAAATGCACATAATATGTAAATATAGTTAGGATGATATTTAAAACACTTTTTTCATTTCTTTATTTTTCATTTACTGTTTGATAATTATTATACCGTACCTTTGCTGTTATTTTAGTTTTTTGTTCATAATTGCTGTTGCCAATTTTGAATAAGAGTTACTGTTTATTGAAAAATAATTTTAATGAAAATGTTTATCATAAAAGGTTAATAAAAAAAATTGACTGAAAGAATTGCATTTTTATTAAGTTAGAATTAAAACAATGGGTAACAAAATGCTTTCCATTTGTTCTCTTTCTAATGCAATGTTCAGGTTTGACTGTATTATAAAGTAAAACTGGCACTTCAAATTACTATTTAAACCAACCAAACAAACAAAAAACTTGACAAAAATAGTCTTTGAGAATCTGTTATTATATATTAAAATTAGGGCCGGGACTTTAACGCGTTAATTAAGATTAATTAATTACAGACTTTAACGCGTTAATTAATTACACAAAAAATATTAATCGCACTTATTTTTGAACCGCGGAACGTTTCTCACTGGATGAGTTTCGGCGGACCGATTATAATGGCGCACCAACTAGCGTTCATGACGAAGAAGCTGACGAGATCGCTTTGGTTGGCCCCGTGGATGGGAAATTTTCTTATAAAAAATGAACGGATTGAAGCGTCGATAAGAGCATGGTTGTGTGCAAGCTATGCAACAAGGAATTCACTATGCTATTAGTGTAGTGTAGCAATATGCTATTGCTACACTTAATGGCAAAAATTGCACTGGTCTGCTGGACTTGGTTGAACAAAAATAAACAATATTTTGTTGCTTAAGCTTATGTATTCAGTCATTATTCAATGGTATACTGAAAATTCATGTGAAAAAAATTACTTCTCACTGTTCTCAGGTCAAATATGTATGCAATTAAAATGCGATTAATTTCGATTAATTAATTACAAAGCCTCTAATTAATTAGATAAATTTTTTTAATCGAGTCCCGGCCCTAATTAAAATCAACAACCTGAAAAAAATAGGCAAATATGTGCAAAAATCACCAGAATTCACAAGCCTTTCTACAGAGAGCTGTAAATCCATCTAGTGGTTAAAATATGATATTGCACGATAATTATGCTCACTACATCCACCAGATGGCACCAATCTGACTTAAATTTTTTTTTCTATAGTCCTAGTCTCTTAGCCTGGCAAGCCAGAACGGCTCTGGCCAGACCCACATCAAGATGTTAGGTCTGGGAACTCACCATTGGCATACCTCAATCCGAGGGTCTGGATAAACGGTTGTCTTTCAAATTCCCTCTGCACGCAATAGGATAGCGCTACAACCAACCAGAGCAACGAACGGCTGTGGCTGAGTGAGTCCCATGCGTTTTCCCACCAGCGGAGCTAACTTAGTTGATATATTAAACTTTTGCCTAATCCGGTCGTCAAAACTCCGAACACATCTTCCTTTTTTAAGAATGACTTGTGACGTTCTCTTAACTCCAAGTCCTCCAGAGTCTCCCCTTGGAGAGACCGCTGTTCGCCAGCAGCATCTTCTTTGTTTTCAAGTAGTAGGGAAATCACCTATGGAAATCACGGCGCAGAACCGTCACAGCCATTGTGTTAAGCCCGCCCACCAACTCTATACACGATGTGATTGGCCTGACCAGAGTTTGGTTTTTCCACTTCGAAAGCCCACACTTGTTGCTAGAGTTGCTAGACCGCAACCAGAGTTGCTAGACCACACTGGCTGCAAAATATTTTACTCTGCTTTAACCTGAAATACAGCATTAATTAAAAAAATAATAATAATAATAATAATTAGGGCTGTCAAAAAAAATATTATTTATATATAAAATATTTATATTTATATATAATATAAATTATATATAGAGTATATACATGAAAATATTTCTTAAATATATACAAGCATGTGTGTGTATTTATATATATAAAATAATTATACACAGTGCACCCACATATATTCAGGGTTCTAAAGTAACTTTTTTGATCACCAGCCAATGTGGCTGGTAACTTTCTAAAGTTACCAGCCATTTAGAATTTCCACTAGCCAATTTTTTTCCGGTGAAAATAAGAGAAATTATGAGTGCCACTGAATGCATTTGATAATTTTATTAACATTGTTGGCATGAAAAACACATATAAAGTACAATACAACACAGAAAGTGCAAACATTTCATTTCAAGTTTGGGATCTATCTCTATTAGGGATGTGCACGAATATTCAAATTTTCGCTCTGTAATTATTATTAAAAAAATAAAATACTAATACTAATACTTTTTTTCTTCAATTTTTTTTCGCAGTTATAATTAAATGCTCTGGGTGGAGCGTGTTTAACAAGTGGATTGTGTTTTTGATCACATAATATCGTTGTCTGCCTCGCGAAGTTTGGAATTACTTAGATGAAAATGATAGCCTATTACAAAATGGAATTACGTTTAATCAATTATTAATTATTATTATTATCATAATATCACCACCACAATGAGAAATCACATGAAATCCAAAGAAACAGCAGTCGACTGAGGAAGCAGCTGTCCATCACTGCATTAACGACTGCAGGTCAGCAGCTGTACCCCGATATCTTCTGGTAGCAAAATGATTTTGACATATGCTTCCTTTAAGTTTCGTTGAGGGAGACAGGTTTAAGAACAGAAAACGCAAAGTGCTGTTACTTCACTTTGCACACACACACGCGCGCGCGTCTCTGCAACGCCTGTGTCAGCGCAGCGCGTTTTCTCACTCGAGCATGTGGATATTATTGTTTTTCTCAACATGAACGTGAAACAATATAAACACGATAATCATATGCTGACTCGAGTATGTAGGCTACGTTCTGTACGATAACTGCGCAGTCTGCTTCTCTTTTTTTTTTTGCGTTTTTTCCCCGTTTGCGCTGCCTGAGCTTAAATGCTTTTGTTGTTTATATATTTTGTTTACACATATTGTTTAATGTTTTCAACTAAAAGAAAACCTTAAGATATATAGTAAGCTTGTTGTGTATAGGCTATTGCCTATAATGTATAAGCTTGTAAGAAATAATGACAAAAACCTTAAACTTAAAAACAATAACGTAGGCTATCTCTCGTTAAACGACATTTAAATTTAAACCCAGAAGTCTGTCCCAACCACCGCCGCATTTAGTTTAATCTTAACTTTTTACTTTAGCTACTTTACTAGCTCCCTCCTCTTTCAGTCTGCTCCCTGCTCTGGCTCGTTCTTCATCTTCCTTGTGTTTTCTGGTGGACGGACGCGTACGCTCCGTTTGTTTCCATGATCATTTCTCGTGCTGGTCTCACTGCAAACTGCGCGCAGCCAATGGGCGTATGAAACGTCATCACGTAGCATTACGGCACAGTGTTTATGGGAAATGTAGGAAGTACTGCCAGGGGGATAAATGACCGAGAACAGAGCCTTATGCATCACCGGCCAAACTGGCTAGTAAGTTTTTATTAACACCCGCCAAAATGAATTTTAACCCGCATTTGGCGGGTTGGCGGGTGTTAATTTGGAACCCTGCATATATTATGTAAAAAAAACTTTTATTTTGGATGTGATTAATCGTGATTAATCATTTGACAGCCCTAATAATAATTCTATTATATTCAATGGGAAAAAAATGGATTATAATTATTGTATAAATATTAATTATTATCATAAAATTATCTCAAAACACCACAAAATATTATTGAACAAAAATACATTTCATTGATTTTACTGAAAAAATAAATATCTGAATCCCGCCCTCCGGGTCATTTTAGACCCGAAGACCCCGAGTGTGACATGAAAATGAGGAACCCAGAGCGTGTTTTGTCACTACAGTATGTTGTTCTTCGTGCAAAGAAGCTAAAAGTCAGTGCACCTTTAAGTGAAGTACAGGTTAAGTAAATGTTATGCAGACCTAATATAGTGAATTTAGGAAACAACTCCTATCTAAAGTTTTTTTTTTCTATCTAACTATTAAGTTAATGAAAGGCTTTTCTGTGGTAACTGTAAAGTTACATTGTTTACTTTACACTGTTTTATTGACATATTTTTTGCGATTGAAACATTGATTTAATTATTTTAAATAATATATCATGACATGTTAAATCATGACATGGATTTTGGTAAGTTGTTTGAATTAGTAATAAAACTGACCGAATTTGTAAGCCGAGACTTTGTTTCATATCAAAAGTAACAAAAGCAGACACTATCTAAAGTTTTTTTTTTCTATCTAACTATTAAGTTAATGGTAATTGAAAGGCTTTTCTGTGGTAACTGTATGTTACATTGTTTACTTTACACTGTTTTATTGACATCTTTTTGCGATTGAAACATTGATTTAATTATTTTAAATAATATATCATGACATGTTAAATCATGACATGGATTTTGGTAAGTTGTTTGAATTAGTAATAAAACTGACCGAATTTGTAAGCCGAGACTGTTTAATATCAAAAGTAACAAAAGCACAAGTCCTATTTTTCTTCGGTTTGTGTTTATTTACTGTTCTAACTTAATTTTAAGTATGCAGGCTATATATCTATTTTCCTATATTTGAACACACAGAGATATGATAATGTTAATATATATATTTTTAAATATTAGACCTTTAAATCCATGTCCTAAGAAGCAGTCGAAGGTCAGGACACCCTTCAGGAATCAAGACGGCCTAATGCTATCATAAAATTACACAGTTTCACATAATCACAGTTTGGTGAGGATTTCAAAAATATATTTTTATTTAGGAAGGAAGCATTTTTTCCCCCCTCATAATATACAGTGATTAGCTGAAAGCATTTGTCGCAGTAAATATATAGAGTATTTAAAATATATTTTAATTATTTTAAGTACAATTGAAAATAAAGAAAGAAGCAATCAAATTAATTCTTATTTTACCATACTAGACAGATAAAGTTATCATCATAAACTTAAGGGTCATCATTATTATTAGGTGAAATACAAGTCAAAGCAGAACAATTTATTAGTTCAGTGCCAATTGTTCCTAATCCGATGTACAGTGTACAAATCAGATATGACAAACAACATTTTTTTTTAAATGTATAATCAAAGAATTCAAAGGTAATTGTATGTCTAAACATACAGCAAAGTGTAGGCACTAAGGAGTGAACCCATCAAAAGGATCAAGGAACCACACAGGCCTGGTGCCCTGGACCCTTGCACTTTATCTGGGATCGGTATGTCTGTGAAGGGGGACAAGACATGGTTCAGTGCATGGTAAAGTTGCAAAACATAAATAAATATGGATTAAATTATACATAACTTTGACATAAGTAAAAAGAGAAAATGAAGCATTAATGTTTACCTGAGCTCCGTTCAGACCAAACCAGAGGACCCATGGATATGGAAGCACTGTCATGGAAGTCGAGAGACCTGCGCTCTCTCTGCTGGTGTCCAGAGGAACAGTGCTAAAGATTGAAGATGGATAACCAGAATGTGATGAGATTTTTACCGTCTACAACAGTATCTTGCATACGCACAGACTGCTTCACTCTAGATGGCGATATAATGCCAAAAACAGATTTTGGCATTAAGACTGTGTGCCAGTGTCTTCTGAAGGAAAAGAACAATCTGACACACAATTAGTGAACACTAAACTCACCGTTGAGCAGCGATTGCTTGACAGAAGGCAAAGGTGAACAGCGCAGTGCAGGTAAAGCCTAGTGGAGTTTGCAGTGAAGATAAACATCCTGAAGGAGAAACGGCTGGATGTCGAGACGCCGTTCTGCAGCAGATCCACTGTGTCGTCATTCGGATTGGGACACCTGAGAAAATCAATAATGACAGATTCTTTATTTTTAAAACAGTCAACACAAAGTTATCTCCTGTAAATCCTCACATATTTGCATTCCATGTTCAAAAATGTAATATTCTCCTTTAGTCCTGAAGAACTGAAAGACATGTAACATGTAAGGTAATCCTAGAGGTGATATGATTATTATTTATTCGGTAAAAATGTTACAATGAGTTAAGGCTAAGCTTAAAAGAATAGAAAGAAGCCCTGCTTTACTCTGAAAGGATGAGATCCCAGCGGAGGCTGTAATCAGGATCATTCACAGGTGTAGCCCAACACGTGTCCATCACCAGGGCGAACTGGCGGCTGTCGACCCCCTCAACACGAACTTCCACATGCATCTCCTGGTCGAGCTCTGCATCCACTCTACCAGTGAAGGGCCGGGTAAACTCATCATCCTCATATGGGATCATCCGGACCTGATATCTGCCTTCACCAGCGGGAAGAGTCTTGTTCACCATGCTGTCGAAATAATGGATAGATCTGTGGTAAAACTATTTTGTGTATGGGTAAAATTATGTTTAAAATAGATATTCTTGGTTTAGAGAATATAACCATATTATCAGTTTTTAAATACATTTCTGCTTAAAGGATTAGTTCACATAACATTTGTTTTAATATAGTTCAGGAGTTATATGGACCTTTTTATTGTACTTAAGCTTGAAATTCCCCATGGGGATTTACTGTATTGAAAAATATGACCAAAAAAAAAATGTGTGTTCCTTGGAACAAATAATAACAAACAACATTTCTGTTTTTGGTGAACTACCCCTTTAAAAAAATTCTGCTGCTTCACTCGCACCTCTCCAGTGGGTTGATTTCCACATTCATGGAAAGTGTTTGTGATTGAGGATAAGCACAGCTGAAAGAAAGCTTCAGGATTTTCTCTCTGCTGATGAGATCTTCTGACCTCGGTGTCCCCAGAATAAAGTTATCATAGATGAAGTGGGTGCCGTTAGCCTGTGGACAACAATATAACATTTGTATTTTAGCCTAAATTGAATTCAAAGTATATATATATATATATATATATATATATATATATATATATATATATATATTACAGCAAGGTGGAAATTAACTAATTACAAATACTTTCGTTACAGTAGCCTATTTGAGTAGATATTTAGATTTTTCTACTTTCTTGAGTATAATTAAAATGTGGAACTTGTACACTTACTTGAGTAGAATAAAAATAAAGTATTCAACTTTGCTACATTTATTTTTCACCAAAAGTACAAAGTACTATGGTACTACTTTGACAAAGGTGCCGACAGAGCAACAGGGCAAGACACTTTTGACAGACACTTTTCAAAACTACTGCGGTGGAGCCCTGCGCTTTAGCCAATAACAGACAGGTCTGACTCTGGTGCAAAACCAATCAAAACTTTCAGTTCGGCTGGGGGGCGGGGCGTTTAAACCGCGCTTTAACATTCAATCACTGGCGCTCGTGTTTTGAACATAGACAGTAAAAGAAATGGACACATGCAGCGACCCCATTGATTTCAACGGAGAAAATTTAAGCCCGTTAAAAGCTGATTGCCAGGTGTACTGCGCAAGCTCAAACTGAGCCTGTAGCGTGAGCAACCTGTATGTCTTCTAGTAGCTGTGCCGAGTGAAATCTGAATAATTCCCTTCCGAATCTCACAGAGACGGAGAGAGTGAGTGTAGTGGTGAAAACAAGTTTCTTGTCCACTGTGGGAGATGCTGATGCTATGGTTCTGACGCGTGCAAAGTACCATGAATAGATCCAGAGAGGCGTGTTGATGTTCCAAACAAATAACTGAAGTTTATTAAATCAAAAATAAAGATGCATTGTAACATAAAACAAAACAAACAACTTTTAGGCCGCTTGCAGGTTTGTTGCACCATGCCACCCTAGCTCCATGTGCACGATCAAAAGACTGTGTGCTCTTGCACCAGCGCCCCCTTCCTGTCAGGGGTGGCCTATCCTTTATACAACTTTTCCCCTCTCACCTATAGAGGGCACACACTCAGAGAAATAAACACAATTAACAATACAACAACATTCTGATATTTAAATTAACAAATTTATCAAAATTAAATAAGGTGGTAAGTATGGCTCCTACACCCGGCCCCTAATTGAGCGTTTAAGCAACAATTACAATACATTAAATGTAAATGGAGCCAAATGAGTCTATACAAGAAAATGAATACTCATTCTTTAATCATTCAGTCATCACTACTATGCTTCAGATCTAATTTTCTGCATCTTCCAATAGCAGGCAAAGTTTGGTAATGGGTCTTTCCAAGAATCCAGTCTTTGTCTTAAGTTTAACAGTTCTTATGAGTCCTTTGGAATCAGGAAAAACTTCTGTTACTCTTCCAATAGGCCACGATCCACGAGGTGCTGAACTGTCCACGACTAGCACAATATCTCCTTTCTGCAATCCTCTTTTTGCAGTAAACCATCTCTGTCGTTCCTGTAGTAATGGTAAGTATTCTTGGGACCATCTCTTCCAAAACAGGTCTGACAAATATTGTACTTGCCTCCACCGACGTCTGCTGTATACGTCTGAACTTTGAAACAATCCAGGAGGCAATGCAGGGCTAGACTTTAACAGAAGAATGTGATTTGGTGTCAAAGGTTCCAGATCATGATGGTCATCAGACAATGTGGTAATGGGACGACTATTCAGAATTGCTTCAATCTCACAAAAGTGTGTTTGTAGTCCTTCATCATCGAGGGTGTGTTGTTGTAAAATAGAGCATAAGATCTGCCTCACCATTCGAATGAGTCTCTCCCATACTCCCCCATGATGTGAGGCTGCTGGAGGATTAAACGTCCACTGAATTCCTTTCTGGAGCATTGCCTTCTGGATTCGGCTTTTGTTCCATTCTGAAAGTGAATTATGTAACTCTCTTTTTGCACCAACCAGGTTAGTTCCGTTATCAGAGCGAATATGCAGTACTTGGCCCCTTCTGGCTATGAATCTTCTTAAAGCGTCAATGCAGGAATCTGTGTTCAGTGAGTGAGCCATTTCTAGGTGAACTGCCCTGCTTGTCATGCAAGTGAAAATAACCCCATATCTCTTTACCTGACTTCTTCCTCTTTTTGTCATGAAAGGTCCAAAGTAGTCAACGCCAACATTGCTGAAAGGTGGAAGATCAGCTTGTAGTCTTTCCTTTGGTAAATCTGCCATCTTTTGCTCTCCAATCTTTCCTCTTACACGCTTGCATACAACACATTTAGACAGAACTTTGCGGGCTGCAGAATTGGCATTTATAATCCAATATTTCTTTCTCAGGTGTGAGAGAACATGGTTTCTGCCAGCATGTCCGAGCTGTTCGTGTATGTGTTGAAGGATAAGTGTGGAGATGTGAACATCTTTTGGAAGTATTATAGGTCGCTTGGTCTCCTCAGGCATTGCAGACTTGTCCAACCTTCCTCCAACCCTCAAAACTCCATCATCCATCACAGGATCTAGCTTGTACAGGCTGCTGAATCTATTCAAGCGCTTTCCAGCAGGTGATGTCTTTCCAATTCTTGACATTTCCTCTGCATACCTTTGTTTCTGCCAAAACTCAACAATGGCCTTTTCTGCTTTCAAGAGATCATCCAAGCCTATGGATTGTCCACAAAGTGATGTCTTGAATATTTTCATTTCATTACATACATTGTTTTGGCTCTGAGTGTCCTTATTCACGCAGGTGGGCTGTATCTTTTTTCTTTTTGCAATAAGCAAGCGAAGGATATTCTTGAACTTCAAGAACCATGCTACTGCCAACTTTAGCTTTGTCCAAGTTGAGAAATAGTTAAGCAGTTGGCTGGTAGGATTTTCATTCTCTTTAATGACAGTACTATAAACAGTGGTGTTCCTTTTAACTTCAAGGTCATCGAGAGAGAGAGACATGGGTCCCAGGGACTCTTTAGGCCATTCCTCTTCTTTCTTCCATAGAAAGTCTGGTCCATGGATCCACTCTTTGCACTTCACCAATGTGCTGGCACTCACCCCTCTTGATGCTAGGTCAGCTGGGTTCTGCTTTGTTCTGATGAATTTCCACTGTTTTACATCTGTGTTTTCTCTAATAACAGAGATCCTATTAGCTACAAATGTGCGGAATCTTGCATTCTCATTTGCAACGTATTTCAGCACTGACTGACTATCAGTCCAAAATGTTGAGCCTTTGAGATCTAGCTCCAAAGCTTTCCTTACCATAATGTCGACTCTGACTGCTAGCACTGCAGCTGTAAGTTCTAGACGTGGAATTGTGACGTGCTTAAGTGGGGCCACTCTGGCTTTCCCCAACATGAAAGACACATGTACAGTGTGCATATCATCAGTCAGTCTCAAGTAACTCACTATGCCGTATCCTTGTTCACTAGCATCAGAGAAATGATGCAGCTCTGCTTGCTTCAGCATTCCAAAACCAGTTGGCTTTACACAGCGTGCCACTCTGAAATCTTCTATCTCGTCAAGATCCTTTATCCACTTTGTCCACTTATCCACTGCAGCCTGTGGTATTTCCTCATCCCAACCACATTTACTCCTACAGAGGTCTTGGATAAGCAATTTGGCAGGTAGAGTAAAGGGACTCAAAAATCCAAGTGGATCATAGATGGAGCTCACAACTGATAGCAAGTTTCTTCGGGTGTGGGATTTGCACTTGACAGTGATATTGAACCTAAACACATCATTCTCCACGCACCACAACAATCCAAGAGCTCTTTCAGTGGGAAGCTTTTCCCTGTCGAGATCCAGTTCCCTTACATTCTGAGCTCTGTCTTCCTTTGGAATATGTGCAAGAACAGTACGACTGTTACTCACCCATTTTGTGAGGTGGAATCCTCCTGTTTGACAGAGAGATGTTAGATCTTTCACCAATTCTACTGCTTCATGCTCTGTTGGAAGGGACTTCAAGCAATCATCTACATAGAAGTTGTTCTCAACCGTGTTTATCACCTCAGTTCGAAAACATTCTTTGTTGTCTTTGGCTGTTTGCCTCAGAGCAAAGTTTGCACAGCTGGGGGATGAGACTGCCCCAAATAGATGTACCATCATTCGATGTTCCACAGCAGGCATGCTGACATCACCACTTGGCCACCAGAGGAATCGCAAGAAGTCAACATCTGATCTTGACACTCTGACCTGATGGAACATTGCTTTGATATCTGTCATAACTGCTACAGATTCTTGGCGAAATCTGGTCAAAACATCAAAAAGTGTACTGGTCAAATCAGGACCCTGAAGAAGTTCTGAGTTGAGGGATTTACCTTGAAAAGTAACAGCACAGTCAAAGACCACCCTTATGGTCTGTTTTTGAGGATGGTATACACCATGATGTGGGATGTACCACAATTTACCATCTGATCTTTTCAGCTCTTGTTGCGGCACCACTTCAGCATAGCCCTTTTTTATGACTTCTGTTAGAAATTCAGTATATTCGGTTTTGAATTTTTCATTCCTCTTGAACTTTCTTTTCAAACTTTGAAGTCGCTGTTCTGCCACTTGGTAATTGTTAGGCAACACTGTGTCGTCCTTCCTAAAAGGTAGATTAAGAGTGTAATGTCCATTTTTTAATTTTATTGACTGTTCTGCAATCTTGATGAATCTTTTGTCTTCTATAGACATTTCAGCCTTCTCTTCACTTGAACGCTCATTAAAATCATGGTTGTATTGTTGCATCAACATTTCTTCCAAGTTCAAGATAGAAATTCTGTTAACAACACCACCATCACAACTGTTCCTGTTTGCTGTGTTTTTGCCTTGTAAAGGACCATTAATAACCCATCCTAGTAGGGTCTTAACTGCATATGGCCCATCCCTTTGGCTATTAAGGATTTCCCAAGGTTCAATGGCTTTGGGAGCATTGCTTCCAATCAACAACTCCACCTTGGCTGGAATCCTAGGAAACTGTACCTGACTCAGGTATGGCCATTTAGATAGTTCTTCCTTTGTGGGAATGTTACAGGTGTCAACAGGCATGATCTTTTGGGT